GCGTATGAAAGGGGTACAGTAAATGAAAATTTATGACTAGTTTTAAATCTATGGAATCAGTAATTATCTTCCAGTGTAGCCTTTCAGTTCAGACTTAAAAAATGTTCAAACTGATCTCTAATTTTATCTACTTGTGTCATATTTGCAGATGAATATTAAACTATCTCATTGAAATCGGACTTGCGAAGAAATGGTTCGAATGTCAAGTACTTATGATTGAAAAAAAATGCTACCTCTAAGTTTTACTTAATATTTATTGTTAACAGTTTTAACTTGTACGATTTTTTTTTATTATTACATTGAAACGTAACCAATAAATGTCTCATTTCAAGGAGTTAACGAGCAATTCTATTACAGATTATTTTTTCACTTCACACACACGTTGACATTAGTAATAAATTAAAAAGTGCTTGCAATGCATTGAGAAATCACATTCTATAAATGTATCTTCTTACACTCTTAGATCAAAAGTAGGTTTGAAAAAATTAAATATCCTCCACTCTTAGTGTAAGTACATGAGATTTCTGACAATAACCACAAACTCTTGTACAATTCCAAGATCGAGGTATTCTGGTAGGGTTATATTGGAATCATTGGAAGGACTCGTAGGCTCGACGTAGTTCTGGAACATTCCCTCGATGTCTCATATTTGATGGTCAGTGGGGTGATCCCGTCCAGTCAGCGCATCCTTTACATACCAGCTGCGACGTGACTTGGATTTGAAGACTGTCGTCGTACTTGTACCCTCACTGAGTTGATGTATCGTTGTCTATTTTTTTTTTTTTTTACTTATTGACAATGGGATTGAAAAATACTTTTTTTAAAGCTTCACAGTCTTTTAACACTGTTACGTAGAATATTTTTCGTAGGATAACAAAACGTAAGATTCTTTATTAGATTTATAAAATATCATATGCATAATATATGCATTACATACCTGCGATTAGTGGCTTATAATTAAGCTATGGTACAATTGTGAGTTCTTTTTTTTACTAGTTAATTAAGTTAGTTATGACGTGTAGTAGTTAAAGTAAGTAGATTCAGTAGATAATGTATTTTCCATATCTTTTGTGATCAACACATAAAAAATGCTTGTAAAATGAAATTATTAATTAGTAATGAAATTAGTAATTATTAATGAAATCACGTCAGGCATGAAACTTCCTATAAGTCATAATATCTTGCAACATGTGGATGAATCGTTGCCCGTATTTGTAAAAAAAAGGATGATAATTATTCATTGACTCATTTATAATCATGCATTTTATAAAATAATTTTAAGTTAGCCTGGCTGTTGAATTTTCTTCTCTAAATCGATGATTCGCCCATACAGGGTATACGATTATACATGAGAGAAAAAGAGCAAGGGAGGAGGGAGAAAAAATTAGATAACGAAACTGCAACAAACGCATACGGACAATTGTACCACTGAATTATGCAACTGCGATACGCGCGCGGGGGCGATCCTCTAGCTAACTCCATCGCGTACACTCGTACACGTATATCAAGTTTGCACGCGAGTACCAAGTAGCCGGAGAAATATTATACATTTCTGCGGTGGATGTGCGTATTATGCGCGTACATTGTACACGTGTGCGTATAGCGATGAATTTACACGATACGCGGTGACGCCGCGGTCGGGCCGGTGTGGCCAGTTGAAAAGCACTTGCGCGCGGAATTTAACATTTTTAGAGCCACGGGCAATTTGCATGCTAATTCGAGTGAGGTCGGTGGGGCCAGTAAATAGCCCCCACGTGTACGTAGTTTATTAATTAGCCCGCGCTAATTGCTCGACGAGCTTTTGCTCTGTGAAATATTGACGCGCCCGTGATTTCGCGTGCGGTTGCCACGTGGAAAGGAACTTTTTTTTAATCCGTTGTTTATTACCTCGATTAACTCTTGGTTCCTCCTCTTAGCTACTATTGCTATTTTTTATGATTTTTCTTAAGCCAACTGACCATATTTACTGCACAGCGTTTAATTCTCGAGCATGCAAATTTTTTTTACTTATGAGTTTGTTGTTGTTACAGTTAAAGTATGGATATTTAGAAAATACCAGCGTTATTATCATTAACTAATGGTAAAGATCAAGAACTACATAAAGTCAGATTATTTGAATCAACGTTTAAGATTGAAAATTATCTAACACTTTACATAAAAAACGAGTTAGGACGTAGACAATAATTACAAATCAACTAAAAATAAAAAAATTAAAAAACAAATTTTACTTAATTGACTGCGTATGTTTGAATAAAAAGAAATTTGTTATTTCTAAGATCCTACAATTAAGGTGAAGTAAAAAATTTGAAAACTATTTTTTTGAGCTAAACAATAAGAAATCTCTTATGCTCTGTAAATAATTGGTTTACAATAAATCTCTGGTAATTTTTTACTATATACCAATGACAGCAGGATACGTATGCAAACTAAGACAGTAATTTCCTTGTACGCACTACGCATAGTTCGTCATAATTACTGTGAAATAAAAAAAAAATAAAATAAAAAAAAAAGTTTCAATTCTTATTTCAAACATGTGAGTGGATAAAAAACTTAAATTAATAGTTAATTTAGGACAACTTTTTGATTTACATTAACGCTCGATTTATACAAATACTCAATTATTCTACGTAGACTTGATACAGATTTTCATCATAAATGAATCAAGTTGCGTTCAATATCAACTATTATTAAATTATTCTTTAAATTGAAACACTTTTTTATCACTAGAAATTAAATCAACTTTACTTAGCTAATACTTAATTTCAATCGTGTCGTTAGTCAAACGCAACTTTTGACGTGGAAGAAAAATCTTTATTGACACACCCTCGCCATCCCCCTAATAACATGCAAAACAAGATAAGTACTGCACGTGATCCGTTTTCCTTACAAAAAAAAAGCTTACTAAATCGTCATCGAATCCTGCACCGAAATTGACAGCAAAAGTCAGCGTAAACGAATAATATTCCTCGAGCCGCGCCACGGCACCGAAACAAGTTAATCCGACACCCATTCATGTACCGTAAGATCAGGATGGGATAATAGAGTCGCGAGCACTGAAAGGCCGTCCACAATCCCTCGCTGATTGGCTGTCATGGCGCCGCTCTATTAAACGCAGTAGGCGATCATTAAGCATTTATTGTCGTCCGAAATCTGATTCGCAGAAAGAGAAAGAGATAGAGATCGGCTCTCTAAAGCACTTTTGCTGTTGTGCACACACGAGCTCATTGTCCATCTGTAATTGATTAATTTGAAACCCGAGCGACGCGCTTGGCTTATGACTCACCGATGGTTAGGCAATTAAGAGCTGATGCTCGCGAAATTTAATTATGAATCTAGTTACTCGAGAACTGACGCTTTCGGATGAATGGACGTTTCCGATGCGCATCAGAGCACGCTGTGCGAATTGATAATTGGTTTTTATTTTTTTCCTCCCATTTGGAAGATCATTTCGTCTTTTTACTCCTTTTTTTAGTCACGATCCTGGTCTCCATGACTTTATTCATCTATATTTATTCGAGGGGTTTTCAGTGCTTTTTTGAGAAGATATTTGATACACTATGATACACTGATCCAAACAAAAATGTATTTCTTAATCTCTTTGTCTTATATCTTTGGTCATTGTTTCCCTATTTTGTTTAATATATGTAGCTGTAGAGACCGCGGTGGCTCAGTCGGCTAGGTCGTGGATTGGCACACGGGAGACCGTGGTTCGAAGGAATTTTCTCACCTTCATTTTTTTACATCTAATTTTCGTTTAACGATACTATATTATTAACTTCTGTATTTACTTCCATGTATTTCAGTCTTGAACATCAGTCTTCTTGCACCAAAAGTAAACAACGTAAAAAACAATCGATTATTTCCTTAATTTGTGGAGGGGTTTGGGAATTGTGAAGAGGGTGGATAGTTATAATTATGACTAATTAGTTACAACCGTGTGTTTTTAAATATCAGACATATTGAGTTATTCATAAAGATTTAGAAGTAAAAGCCACGAAATTAGTCAATCAGTTCTGTTTTTCTCCCTCACTAGCTAATATTTTTGCTCCAAATCCACCTAAACCCGCAATTATACTACGGTTCTAAAGACAACTTAAAAATCCCTGCCCCAACTTGAATATTTGTTGAATTATAATTTAATGCATCAAAGCAGTTTATCAACCACATGTTTCATTCTATCACTCATTTAACGATCAACTGTTAAAAGCTCATTCCTTTGAGTAACTGCAATAATACGCCTAATAATATTTACATTCAACGGATATTATTATATTTCGTAGAAGCATTCCGGAAAACAAGCTCCCGCGTGTGTACACGAGACAAAAACTCACTCCACCAGCGCGCGCCATCAAACGGCAAGCCGGCTCGAATTTCCAGGCTATCAGAATTCTGAAATTCCTTGAACAGTGTACGCTTGTACATATATAATCACTGGCTATTATATGATGGAATGCCGTTCATTTATTGCACCACATCGGCAGGAATTCCGACCAGTGTTTGGAGCGTTTTGAAAGAGAGATATTGCGGGGCCGTGTATCACCACCATCATCATCATCATTACATTCCTCGCGTCGATATTTAATGAAATTCTATTTTTTATCGCGGACGATAGGGATATGCGACAGACTTGAAGTTAACTGTGGCTTCAATTTCTACTTGCTAATAACGGGAAGATGATATTTGGGGGGTATTTCTGGTGCCTAGCTTCTTTAGTACCGAAACTCCTAAAGGAAAATCGATACGTGACTAACCTATCTTTACTTCAGTTTTTTATCGATGCACTAAAGAGGAGAACATGTTGTTTTATAAATATTGTATCACGGACAAAAAGTTACATTATTTTTTACTGTGAAAGTCTTTACCGTTATTTTTACCGCAGCTTCACGGTAATTTTTTAGTAAAATGCATCTGTTAGATATACTATTCATCGTGAAGCTACAATAATTTTTTTCTTTTATTGAGGAAAAGCATTATGTCAGACATCAATGATGAGTTGATAATACAGATACCAACATTGTTTATTAATTGAGGTTATGAATAAAATAATTATGTTAAGTGTAGTTAAAATTACACTTTCTGATCTGCCAATCCGTGGATTGGCCATGCCTCACGTACAAGACGTAATGTTTTGCATGAATTAAACCACTTTTTAATACATAAAAAGCATAAAATACTATATTAAATTTTTACTATTAATCACATGTTCCCGAGAAATGATGTTTTTTGGATAAAATAAATCTTAAAAATCTGGATGCAGAACCCAATAATTGTACGAAAATCCTCCATGACAGATCCCACTTTTGCAATGACACGAGATTCTGTCAAAAGTATTTGTATTTTTATAATGGTATGTATCCTTATCCAGTGGACAGCCAATTAGATGACAACAATTTGCTTGTGAATCGTGCCATAGTGTTATATCCCAGACTGATGAGCCGTACATGTACTCTGACTCAGGATGAGCTGATGTTTTGTTTAAAGGTGCAGATGTAGTATAATTTTTCGTAGATTCTTCACTTTCTAAGTTTATTGTCTGGTCAGCTTTTTCTTTGTTTGGCTTTATAAAACTGTCGGCACCTGGGACAGCATTAGGCCTATTTGGAGAAAAAATACACATTTTATAAATTTTGATACTTACTTTGGAGATAAAAAAGACTGGTAATCGCATGATAATATAAACTGATTCATGTTAAATTTTTTTTCCATGAATCCCCATCGAGACTTGTCATATTTGTATACTAAATCCTATCATTTCTTTGTATTATTATTCTAGGATTTTTATGAGCCCTTTGTACTAATTCAAATTTTACCACAGTATCATATTTTAACGACACTATAAACATTAAAAAAAAAAAAAAAAAAAAAAAAAAGGTCTAAAATCTTGAACAGTTCGGTAATCAATGAATCTTTTTAACCAGCAATTGTTTGTCAATTTCATGCGTAAATAAAAATGAATAATAATTAAAATATTTTACTCAAGTTTGAGGTTAGTAATCCTATAAGTTTTAGTATTAAAGAAATCTGTAGTTTTGAAATGAGATAAAACGTAATGAATTGTCAAATTATTTCCACTCAAGTTTTCTGATCAATTGAATCATCAACTACTTTTAATTGAACGACACAAAAAATTAAAAAATCTTTATTACCATTGACGTGAGCTAGTATATCCTTGACTAGCAGTGAGCACACTTGATAATTTTAAAGCTTGACATGTATCTATTGTATTCCATGAAAGTAACGCAAGCACAATCAATGCCACAGAAAAAATGTTGCGTAACATCATGAAACTTTGATTCAAAGGAAAAAAACAAGCTTCTCCGATGTGGCTCCAACTAAAGAAAAACAACTCCTGATTGTCGACAGAGTTTCCTTATACTAAACCAACGTGGGTTTCGAGTTTCCTCGATGAGTGTAGCATATCTGACTCTTGCATGTGGATATATTTGCTGCTTTTATAAATGTTTCCTGGAGCTCCAAGGAGGGATTAGAACGAGTTATTTCCATAACAATGGTACTTTTAAATAAATGCTTACGAAAAATAAGGTTTTAAAAATCAAATAAGAGATGTGGTGTGTAGCTTGCACATTTTACTTTTTATGGTCCTGTTATATTGATAAAAAAGTCCCGAGAACGATATAATGATAGTAATGATAAAAAATTTATGAAAACAAAATTTAGTTACGAAACAAAAAATCACGTTTTCTGAAAAAAGTAGTCCTTAAAAATTAGGATTTAAGACCCAATAGTTCTCCTCATCTCCTCCATGACAAGAACCATCTATGCAATGGCACGAGATTCTATTATTACTATCAAGTTGAAAAAATTGAAAATTTTCGGGCAGAGGACACCCAATTAAATTACAACAATTAGCTGCTGTGTCATGCCAGAGTGTGACATCCCAAACTGATGAGCCGTACATGTATTGTGATCCAGGATCAACTACTTCTTTGTTCGAAATAGTCAGTGTAGTATTCTTGTCCGTGATTCCTGTATCCTTTGCTGATTCTTCCTCTTCGTATTTTTCTTTCACCCGCATCGTTGAACTCTCAGCTACCATATGAAGCCTGTAAGTTCCAAGCAAATTCAAGTTGTTACGATGTTAATAAACACTCGTTGTTTTGTATTTTAGGGGGATTATTTTAATAATCCGGCTTGTTTTCAAAACAAAACGTTAATTCATTGATTTCTTACATCCTACGGACAGCATTGCCGTTTTAATGGGTGATTACTTATCAAGTTTACTTTATAAAATCAGCAAATTTTTTCGAGTAAAATAGTTTTAAGATAAACGAACTACTGAAATTCGGCTGATGAAAATATCATTCCTGTATTTCGATATTACCGTTAAGCATAACTTACTTAAGTGTAAAACTTGTCTGACGTATTAAGAAAAAGCATTTTACATTGTTACGAACCAAAATTATTAAGCTGCTTCTATTGGGTAATCTTTTAATTTCATTAAATGTTTTGTATGTAAATGAAAAAAAAAATTACAATAGAAAATAATAAACCTTATGGAAAACAAACAGTAAAAAAATAAAAATTGTAACTGAATTTTTGAAAAGCTTCTAAAAGAGAATAAATCACTGCAGAAATGTTTTCCATTAAGGTCTAAAAAAAAGGGTAAAAATGGTAAAACAAGGTTTTTACCGTGGAAAACAAACAGTAAAAAAATAAAAATTGTAACTGAATTTTTGAAAAGCTTCTAAAAGAGAATAAATCACTGCAGAAAGAGTTTTAATTACCTTTCACATAAATCAGGATATTTTTGTCGTGACACACTTGATAATTCCAGAGCTTGGCTTGGATTTATCCTATTCAATGACAATAACGTCAATAAGATTATTGTCACCAAAAAAGTCTTATTTATCATCTTGAAACTAAACTTAAATAAGTATCTTCTTCACGATTTCAATTCATGATTGTAGATTTAAACAAATAAAGAAATTGTTTTACATTTCTAAGCTATCGCACGTTTAGAGTTATCTTGATAAGTCTTTAGTGTCTGAGCTTGGTGGATCGATTCCAAAAGAGTTAATAATTTTCGAATCAATAGGAGGGGAGAAAAACTGGTTTCTGCTGGCCGAAGGTGATTGCAGAAAAATATACTCCAAACATAAATATTGTTTGTGTGTGTAATTCGTATACAAATTCAAAGGCTGTCATTGCTATTACTTATATTGAAGTTTATTATATGTGCAGTAGTTTTTGATTGCCTTATTATTTTTCGCGTATTCTGCTTAGTCAAAAAAATATATTAGGACCTGTATTACAGATATAGGTACGTGTACTCCTTTCATGATAATATACGTATATATTCACTTACAACAGTACACGTCAGTGGTACTACTGTGTTGAATTTAATAAGCCAAAATCAAAAAATACTGCACAAGCAATTTCAGTGCTGAAAATGAATGATGAAGTATTATCATCAAATTTTAATTTTGTGACAAGCTTTTGGATATNTTTGTGAACGGATATAAATCAAAGTATAGAACAAAACTTTTCTCACCTAAAATAAGAGTCGACGGGTACTTCAACTTTATCTTGACCTTTCAGGGGATCTCGTGAGAAGTTGTAATCTTTTCTGTGATTTAATTATTTAAATATCATGTAATTTTACTTACTTCTAATTTAATTAAGACTAATACTTTTAAGACTAGAAGCAAACATCGTAAAAATGTCAATAAACTAGACACTTTTTGCACATTAAGATTAATGTTACATAGGCATATAATATAAATGTTGATGCTATCATTTTTCCTTGAAAATCAGCTCAGTATTTTGTAAGATGCAAAAAATTATTTTAAATTCAATAAATCATCAATAATAAAAAATTTTCAATCATCTGGGCGACATTCATTACGAATAAATTTTTGTCCTGTCGGGCAGCGAGGAGCCGCTGTAATTATGTAAGGGTAAAAACTTTGTGAACGACAATATCCGTTTTTATCGCTATAACAAGTGACATAAGGTGCCCGAAAATTATTTGTTTCACGTGGTAAACAGCCAATTCTAGAACAACAAGCAAATGATCAATCCATATTAACCGTTAAACTTGATGGGTACGTACTACTTGGTGAGGCTGTAGAAGTAATAATTGTATAATTTGTCGATAATTTATCCAGTAGTCTTGAAGTGTGGGGAAAAAGATCACTTGATGGTACTGTTGGGTTGTCATATTTCAGAGCAACTGAGGATACAGGATTCATTTTTTTTTTAATTCATCAACCGGAACTTTCTCTTTTTCTGTGTTTGAAGGCTCTTTTTCTGCATGATTACTACAATAAGGATTTAATTTTTAATTTATGTCTATAAATATAAAAGTCACTAATGAAAATAAATGTATGCAGTTTATTAAAATATTGATTACAGTGAGAATCAATCCGCTTGGATACGTCAACTTCCATAGATTTTTGGGAATAGTTTATATCTTCACTGCAAAAATAAACGGAGGTTTCATTAATCTTTTGTCTAAGAAAGCAATTTTCTGCGCCTTATTTGTAGTATAAGTATACTACAGTAATAATTATTTTTAATAGCCATAACGAAAAAAAAATATTAAAATGCTTTTGTTTGAACAAATCCAACTTTTTTAAGTTCAGATTGTTTTTATCAGCTAGTTTTAGGCTAGTTATTCAGTGGACTTTTAATAAAATCATTTTTTCTTAATAAAGCATTCTTTTTGGGAAAAAAGTTTGAATCATCACTGTTCACAATACATAATAAAAAAATAATTTTTTTCCGCCCTCGGGTGGTTTTGGGAGGCTGGTACTTCCTCGGGCGAAAAAGCAGTTTTCCGGAACTCGTTCGAAAAGTCTCCTTTACGAACCTCGTTACGTCCCTCGCCTTCGGCTCGGGCCGNAAAATCCATCACTGTTACATTCGCAAGTCACTTTTTGAATAAAATAATTGACATTTGCATCATCACGTGTCCGACATCCCACTATAGCACAACAATTTGATATATTGTCATCTATTACAGATACCTCAAAAATTGTACTATTAGATGCAAGTGATTCAGTTGATTGAGATGTATGAAGATATGTATCTGCAAGCGCAACTGTGTCATTACGTCCCTCATCTTCTGTGGGTGTAGAATCCTTTACCGTAGATACTTTGATGGATCTAACCTTTTTACATCTCAAATGTCTTGTTTCTGCATGATGCCTAAATTCATATGGAACTAATTACATTTTTAGTTTTCTCATAATTTTACTTAACTTTATCATTATAATTCGGTAATTTATTTATATGTTTACACATTTTTAATTTATATTTATAAAATTTTTTAATACATATAATGCATTTTTCTTTCGCTAGTTCTAGAGAAGTCACATAACACTTTTCATCATCTCTGTCACAAGAGCAAATCATGTCTTTAAATTTATAATTGTAAGGACCATAAGGTGGACAGCCGATATTAGCACAGGAAGTGAACGTTGACTCTTTGTAAACTGTGAAGTTAGTTGATTTTTTTGCTGTTGAAGAAGGCATAGTGACACATCATCATTTTTAATCAATTAACCAGTTAATGTTTAGGATTTGATTTATTTATTAACATACAAAGAATCGTCGTTAACTTTTTTTCTGCGAGAAAATAACAATTTTTTAAATTAATATTGTTAAAAAGTAATTATATAAATACATATTGTAGCGTATGAATTATATTAATTATTTATATAACAAAAGATAAAAATATCTGGATGGCCGTCAACAAAAGAAAAAAGTAAAAACTTGAGTCCCATTATCCAAAGAGACTTTACCAGAGTGTAATAAAATGATAATATCGCAGGTACTTCTACTTGATAAATATTTTTGAAGGGATCAATGGGATTTTGGTGAAATTATCATGTAGTTACTTTTATTTTTAAAAAAACTCAATTTGTACATTAATGTTTGTCTTGAAACATGTAAACAGCTGAGCCAAAGTTATATACAATAGGTACGAAAAAACAAAATTCGTTCTAAAAAGTCATATCATAGTTACAAAACAGCAAAAATGTAAAATTTAACGAGGAATATGTTATGATTTAAAATAATTAATCTTTAGGTCGACATTCATTGTGAACAAATATTTCATCTGATTCACAGCGAGGCGATGCTAATATCATCGACGGCTGTTCGGTGGACCAAATGCAAAGTCCATCATTTCCACATTCACAGCGTATTAATGCATACGCCCGTTCATGAGATAATTTTGATGTTTTATTTTTACGTATTCCACATCCAGCTTTAGAGCAACAACTAGATGGTGTTTCCTGATAAACCGTAATAAATGAAGGTGATGAACTGATTTTTTCAGAACTTTTTCTATTTATCAATAAGTTATCGTTCAATTCGATAGTAGTCTGGATACTATCAGCAGCCATTATTGTGTTGTAATCTTTATTTTCGATGGTAAATTCAACAGCTTTTTTTTTATATCCACCATCTGCTGATTTTTCTTCTATTTCGTATAAATAATCTTCGCTAGCATTGTATCTGATGACAAGATTTCAGAATCATTCAAAGACGTTTTGTAGATAACAAATTATTTTTATGCGTATAATCATTGGTTGAGTATATAGCAACACGAATTTCGTAAAAGATTTATGAGGATAAAATGAAAAATTTGTGAACGGATATAAATCAAAGTATAGAACAAAACTTTTCTCACCTAAAATAAGAGTCGACGGGTACTTCAACTTTATCTTGACCTTTCAGGGGATCTCGTGAGAAGTTGTAATCTTTTCTGTGATTTAATTATTTAAATATCATGTAATTTTACTTACTTCTAATTTAATTAAGACTAATACTTTTAAGACTAGAAGCAAACATCGTAAAAATGTCAATAAACTAGACACTTTTTGCACATTTTTTGTACTGGAAAATTACTAGTATGAAAAAAATATACGTATTCTTTTGTTTGAAACAAATACAAGTTCTTAGAGTTTACTTAAATGAATATAAGGATAACTAATTACTAAAAAAATGCCATTTTATTATGTTCAAACAAATTACCTTGTAACGCTTGCGTCATATAGTTGCGTTAAACACAAGCACCATATTAGGCTTGGAATAAATATTGCAGTCGTAAGTTTACTAAACGTTGTAATAAAATGAATTTAAAATAATATCTACTAGATTCATACGTAGGCTGCTAATATTTTAGATATACTGATGAAGTAGAATTTCTATGTCCTCTTGATACGAGTAGACTCTACTTTGCGAGTAATGATTCATAATTCATAGTACATACGACACATAATTAATACCTGACGAGATTTATGTAATTTAGTGCCTATTAACATTTTCTTTTTCCTGAGCTTGGCAATTTTTCTTACAATTTCAGAGAATTTTTGCGTAAATGACCTTTTTGTGGTTTTGCTAATCATCAAAGTCAAATCCTCATAACGTATTAAAAATGCTTACTTTATTTTCTCAGTATTATTTTTATACTATCTTTATTATAGATATAAATAAATAATAAGTATCTTTAGACGTATAGTTCAACGAAAAAATGCTAAAATTACGACAATAAAATTGCATACTCTTATAATTCGTAATGTAAATTAGATGGTATTTATTTTATGCAGAGCCCCTTTATTTATATATATTTTGTGACTTCATAATAAGATACATGATAATTTAAGTTTTGATAACTCAATTAAATTGGTTGAAAAATTTTGTCATACATACTTTAAATTTCATTGCATATCTTTCCAATTTATATAATCTACTATTTTTCAATCTACAGCTCTTGAGCATACGATAAAATATTTTCCTCTGATAACACATGTATTGTGTTTCTTTGATAATAAAGCATGTCCCATATAGAAAGTACAGCACCCAAATATGTAAAGTGTGTTGTTTATTTAAGGGCAATGCTTGTCTGGAAATTCAGAATTTTTATCATTCATCAGCTAATTTCTAAAAACCTTTTATTTCTTGAAACCACAAGTTTTTTTAATATTGCATTTAGTAGTTGTTATTGATCATATCGGAATACATTTAAAAGACAGTCTAACAAAAGTATTCCTCAATGTTTTGGCCGACATGCTCCATAAACAAGTATTTCGTCAGATTTACAGGTAGGTATTTTAAATGAAATTGCTGAAATCATGGTATAGTGGCAAAATCCATCACTGTTACATTCGCAAGTCACTTTTTGAATAAAATAATTGACATTTGCATCATCACGTGTCCGACATCCCACTATAGCACAACAATTTGATATATTGTCATCTATTACAGATACCTCAAAAATTGTACTATTAGATGCAAGTGATTCAGTTGATTGAGATGTATGAAGATATGTATCTGCAAGCGCAACTGTGTCATTACGTCCCTCATCTTCTGTGGGTGTAGAATCCTTTACCGTAGATACTTTGATGGATCTAACCTTTTTACATCTCAAATGTCTTGTTTCTGCATGATGCCTAAATTCATATGGAACTAATTACATTTTTAGTTTTCTCATAATTTTACTTAACTTTATCATTATAATTCGGTAATTTATTTATATGTTTACACATTTTTAATTTATAATTAACAAAAATAATGAAAACTCTTATTTCAGTATACTTTTTAAGAAAATAAAAAAATATAGAAGATTACTTATCAATCATAGTTCGATGTCAGCTTAGTTTATTTTTTTATAGTTTTTGATGAAACATTTAAGTCTCTAAAAAATCTGCTCGCAATGACATGTATTACAAAAGATTTCACACGTTATTTTAATTTTGGAATAAGCAAATGGTAATCTACAGACAAAAAGTATTATGCTATCTACGTCAAATAGGTTGTTTCTTTTTTCTTTTTAATTTTAATACTGTTGCATAACTTATTGCAAATAGTTTGAGAGAAAATAGTTATAAAAATTTTGCTACAGTCCCATGAACATATTTCTTTGATGAAATGATAGTAACAATTATAATACATGTAAGACCTAACTAAGCTCTCAATTTTTAAAGGCTTGGAATATAATTACCTTGAAACCGCATGAATATTTTCCTCCTTAATTTTAATCAAACCAGAATCACATAATTGCAATGAGCAACAAAACCATATCACAAACGTTAAAAGTAGTAGTTTACTCATTATTGTAGTAATAGAAATTTAGAAAAAAATCAATCATATGCTTGCACTTCTAATGATTTTAACATACTGATGAATACAGCGCATAAAAACTACCTCAGGATCACTCGACTTTATTTTGCGACAAGTGATTCATAGATTCCAATACTGACGCATGGTTTAACACGTCAAGACTTCCTCAAAGCAGTATTATGTAAGCTGTAAAAAAATCTTCCATCAAATTGTTGAAAAAGTTTTTTTTTCTTTTTATTTGTAAGATGTATTAATTTAATATCTTAAAAAAAAGATAGAAACTTAAAAAAAAACATCAGATAAGAAATATTCGGAAATATCTTTTATTTGGCAGTGATAACTTCCAATAAACGGTATAATTATTATTTGAGAAGTAAAAGATTGACGTGATTCACGTGTTACTATCGATAAAGGCTAAATGAGAAAGAATTGATACATGGTTTTAGTTTCAACAAATTTACAAATAAAATTTTTACAATACATATGTGTAAGTCACAGTCATTTTATTTCTTATTTAAAAGATTTTTTTAATCTACCATATTTTCACTTGGAATTTATAATGTAAGTCTCTGCTAACTGAGACACAGTTTTTTCTGTGAGTTGTAGTATATTATGCACTTAGGCTGATTAAGCAAAGGAAGTCTCAGATTGTCCGTGTATTGCCCGATAAATGCTTCTTCACTTCTGGCTGTGGTGTGCATACAATTTCCTGTTTCTCTACTGCCAGAAAAATATTGCTTTAGCCTGCACAGCGAGCTTTTTACTGGAGACACTTGAGAGAAAACATTTTACAATCACTAACGTAAAATGAGATGTTATCTCGATGGTAACTCGTAGTAAGATGTCATTTAAATCATAAATTAAAAAAAAAGCTCTCATTAGTTTCGTGGAAAGTACGAATGTGATTTCATTTTCAAGAGGGTACTATTACAGGTTTTTACTTGGAAAATATTAAGAAATAAAAATTGATTTGGTATGCTCTTCAAAACAATTTACTATTATTTAAGTAAAAATAATTTTTTATGAGACCTGAAAGTTGTTTGTTTTTTTTTTCTAAAATAAAATCACAATGCTTGTTTTTTTAAAGTAGAAGGATCATTAAAAGTTAAAATCATACCATATTCTCCAAGGTTGAAAATTATATAATACTTAATTTTATTTTGAAAACATT